CAAGAATGATGGAGGATGGGCATGTGAATGGGGATGGGGATGGGGATGGGGATGGGGCTGGAGCTTCCAGGGAGCTGCTGCATCCAGGAAGGGGGGAGAGGGAGGAGGGCATGGCCAGTGGTGCTGGCCTCTCCCCTCCATGGCCACTATTTCAGGCAGCCAATCAGAGTGTGAATAAAGTGTTATGGACAGGCAAACTAAGGCTTTTATATTTTATAATATAATATATATATATAGTGGTGATTCATTTTAATCATAGAAATATACATATTTTTGTTTCATTTTAGTCACAGCATAATGTGGATTTGGGGTTACTTTATTAATCTGAAAACTGGAGATTTTTTTATCAGATAAAACCAGGATCCTTGCTTATAACTTCTGAAGTCCCATAATCCCTCAGAACATCATAACCAGGAACCCAGGGGGAAGGATCCTCTACTAAGTCCCAGATACACTGGAAAACACCCAAAAAGGTAAAAGAGGAAAAGGTGGAGGGAGGAGGATGAAGAAGGGGGCAAAAGGTCAGGTACCCCTGGATCCCATTCTAATAATGGGGTAGGAGCCTCATTACACTTGTCCCTTTGGTTTCATTCTTAATTTGATTTAATGGTAATTGAAAATGCTTGTTATTTGGCCCTATTAGACTAGACTCCTGTTTATCCACAGAATAGGGTCAGCAAAAGTAACTGTAGTGGAAGTTTCCCTATTGAGCAATATGCCTTAACCTCTGAACATTTACTTGTGGGAATCTCATCTAAAACTAAGAGCATAATTCAGTTTATGTGCCAATTACTGTAGTTCTCTTTATTGGGGCTCAACCACAATTTCAAGAGGATCTAATCATTATGTTTTATTTTTGTGATGGGACAGTTCATATTGAACTGAAACTAAATTGCATTATTTCACATAGGTCACCAAATATTTTTCAATTGGTAAGTACTGCAGTCACAGCTAATCTTCCGTAGAAACCTATAGCTAAAACTTCTGTATTTTGCCTAGTAACCTCAGCCTCGTTCTAAGGTATATTCTATTTTTATGAGTAGATTTCAAATAAGTGCAAGATGCCTGAATTTGTCACAAACAGCTGTTGTGTACTAAAACTACATAGTGAAAATTGATGGTACAGCCTCAATGTTTTAGTCTCTCTTGAATGTATATATCCCCTAGAGTGATCATATCAGTTCTCCTAACATAGATTTCTGCATATTTTATTCAGTAGCTGTACTTCAGGATTTTAGATTTTAAATGACCATAAAAGAAGCATTATGCACCCTTAAAATTAATAATAAAATAAAATCCAGATGTTTGAGTATGTCTGAGCCATATTAGCTTTGTTTAATTGGTTTACAAGGGTCTGTACTAAGCAGCAGTTGCTATGGAAACTTGACAAGATTGGACTCCAAATAAATGTATCATTTAATAATGTGATGCTGTAGGTTTGAGTTGCCAATTCATCATATTCAATATGCCAAAGGTGATGGCTTGTGGGGAGAAAGAACAATTTAAATTAAAAGTAAAATAAAATAAAATAAAATTAGCAGGCAAGGGATAAACAATAAAAGGAAAAACACTTTTACTGGTAGGAAGCACATTTTCTATTAACAAAGGGAAGAAAAGCACTAACAGTACTCACTGGGACACAAAAGAAAAAAGCAACTGCCCAATTGGATGCCTCTGAAAAGGAGTGTTAAGAAAGTAAGAGTAACTAATACAGTACCATGTGAGAGGGAGAGGTAGAGAACTACATGAATGTGTCACAATGAGAGATATTACCAGCTGTTTACTATTTATACTAGACTCAAAGGTTCTATGGCATGCAGTTTTTAAAAATCTGATGACTTCAATTATTCAGAGGTAAACACTGCTTTTTGGCATTCACTTACATTTTGAATTTCTATTTCCACCTGTGATGAATCAGGTGCAGTCCTCACACTTACTTCCTTAAATTAAGTGGAGAAGGAAGAAGAGGAAGAGGAGGTTTACTCTCACAACTTCTAGCCCAATACCTAATGGCTAGGATGCTTCCTGAGGTTGTGGGACACCCAGGTTCTAGGCCCCTTCCAGCAAAATGCCATCACCAAAACATGATCCAGGTATTGACAAAAATCCTCTCCAGATTCTCCTTTAAGCTAACCCACTTCACCTTGTACTTGGGTTGGATTACACTGGATAAAGAGCATTGGAAATAGGGTTTAGGCTAGAAATGATGATCCTCTATCTTGTAGGTCTCTTCTGATCCCCCATATCTTCCTTTCGTGGATGCCCAGCAAGCCAGCTTCAAGGTGAGGAGTGGGTGCTTAGCCTTGTTGGCACTGGATTTATGACCCAGATCTCCTGTTTGTGGGACCCAAACCCTCAGACAGACCACAACTTTTCTATTTGATAATAGGCATTTTTTGTTGGTAAACATGATAGCAGATAATAATGCAGGCAAGGAAAGCAAAATAATGTGCCCCTCCCTCTTTCTATATCTACTGGTCCTAGAATTATCATAGAGGGAAGGTACATCTGGCCAGTACATCAGGTTTACCCTGTGGTTCTTTCTTGAATGTCAGTTGTCAGCAGCCTGGAGGTTGAGGGCCAAGGCCCTCCCTCTCCCACCCCTCCACCCCCAGTTGAGTGGGTGAGAAGTGTTAGTGGTGTACCGTCTGACCATGGTAGCCTCAGGTTCCCCCCTTGGGGACCCTTTGCTCCTCTGAAATCGCTCCTTTTGGTTTTTTTTCTCCTCTGACTCTTCATTCCTGGGCATCGTTGATTGATCTCCCTGTTGTCATCATACTGTCTATGTTCTGTCCTATCAGCATATTCCTTTGTTCCAAAAAACCTAGCACATGCATACATCTTAATTTGGTCATTTACTGATGTGTTAATGTGGTCTGTCTACCAAAACTGGAAACCCCAGGGGCTCTGCAGGTGGGTGTTGTGACCTAATGCCACCTTATCTCATATTGTGGAACAGTGTGATACAGGTCTTCAGTTT